AAAATTAATAAAAGTCACAATGTCAACTTTTAACCTACTTCATAAAACAATCCTAAGTGGCTATCAATATTCGATCAATGTAAATTTTTGTAATAATAAAATAATCGAGGAGCCTTACACATTAACAATTTGGATTATCAATGTAGATTTCGTGGTGGCGTGAGCCAAAAGCATTCTTCAATACTATTTGGATCGAAAAGAAGCCTCTTCCGTAATTATTTATTTTTTTGATATAGATATAAATAGATAAATAATTTATTTGAAATTGTATCATATTGAATAATTCAGTTTTGCTACATAGCTCGAACGAGGCTCGCCCCGAATGGCTCGAATTCCAAAACAACGTTGTTTTGGGATTTATTTATTTATTTATTCTTTTCTCTTTTCTCTATGAAGATGAAGATGAAGATGAAAACGAGAGAAGAAAGAGAGAAAAGGGAGCTGTGAATCTGAAAAAACAACCAACAATCACAAAAAAAATAAAAAAAATAATAATAATAAAAAAAATTTGTAGAATACATCATCATCAACAACACCACATTAACAACAACAGCAGCTGTGTTGTGCTTCTTCTTCTCTTCATCAATAACACCACATCAACAACAACAATTGCTTTGTGCTTCTTCTTCTTCTTCTCAATACACACATAGATCTAGACACACACAGAAAAAAAGAGAGAGAGAGGTACACAAATCTGTGTATACACATAGATGATAGCGGCGTCGGTGATGGGTGGAGCGCCCTCCCTCTTTTCTCTTTCTTTTCTTCCTCTCTCTTTCTCTTCTTCTCTCTTCTCTCTCTTTCTTTTCTTCATCTCTTTTCCTCTGTTTCAGAGATACAAGGGGAAAAAAAAAATGTCCAAAACGACGTCATTTTGGGCAATCGAGCCATTCAAGCCAATGGCATTTCAAGCTGCCAAGTATTATTTTTGAATAATTTTTGAAAATGATAAATTACATTTTTTTTGACAGTTAATTTCATTAATATAAAATGAGAAATTCTACTATACAGTAACGTACCTCTTAAAAAGAATGTACCATATACACTCTTAATTATGTTTTTTTTTTTTGATTAATTTTCTTTTTTAGTTATATAATATCTTAGTTATGACTAACTCATCAGATGCCTTATGTAGTGTTTGGTTATGGCTTATTTCTTTTTTAGTTATGATTCAAAAAGTATAGACTTATGTCATATTATTTTTTAGTTATAAGGTGCATATGATATAATCTTACTTTGTTTGACATATATGGTTGGGACTAAAATAATCACAAAATAAAAAAATCAATAAAGACAAAATGCCACATCTAAATCATAATCATTTTATTTATTCTCTCACAAAAATCAAAAAGTCAAAAAACCTATCACAAACGAGATTTTTTAGCTCATGCTGAAATAATCAAAAAGCCAGAAAACAAAAAAACCAACTCACTTTCCAAACGAAGGCAAAATATGTAAATTTTGCATTATGATTATCAATTTTTTTTTTAAAAAAAAAGAAAGTTAATTGATTTTTAGCCAGTGTCCAATTACTATGGCTAGCAGAACCATATAACAATAATATTTTTTTTTATAATAATAATAATAATATCACATATTTAAAATTTTTATTAATAATTTTATTTAAAAATATTAACATGTAATTTAAATTTATTCATAGATTCGCAATACGTCAATCTCAACCATATATTTACATTTTAGTGAGGCTTATGACCTAACCTGGTACAAACAAATACAAAAAAAATTTAAAAAATTAATGCAAAAAACATATAAAAAATTGTAAAAATGTATAAAAATATATAAAAGTATTTTGAAATAAGTAAAAAAAAATGTATTAAAATTATGAATATTTAACATTATATATTAACACTATCATTAACAGGAACCGTATTAAAATTAAAGGGTAAATTATAAATACACCTCCTGAGATTTGTTTAAAATACGAATTATCTCCTGTGGTTTGGAAAATTACAAATACTTCCCTGTCAGAATTTTTTATTTAACATAATTAATTGAAAAAATGAAATTTCTAATTGTTCACCTATACAATAGTAAAATTATCTAAATTATTAATTGAAATAAAGTTTTAACATTATTAAAAACTATTAATTAATTTGATGATTTATTAATAAAAGGACTTATTGGTTATGAAATTAGAAATCTTAGGAGGCATAATGTAATTTCTAGAACCACAAAAGATAATTTATAATTTAAATAAATTTCAAGGGTTGCTTGTTTATTAATAATGGGAACATCGAATGTAAACAACTTTGGTGATCCCATCATGTGGTTTGATTTTATATATGTAAACTAGTAGTTAACTTGTACAACGCACTAGATAAAAATATTAAAATAATATTTCATAAATGTTAAAAAATTATTAGGACAATTATTAAAAAAAACTTTTAAAATTTGAGTCTTATAACAAAATAAATCTTAAAATTTTTATTTTGTCAATTTAAATCCTAAATTTTTAATTTATTTTTAATTTAAATTATTTGTCCATTTCTATTAAGTAAAATTAATGAAAGAAAGAAGAATTTCAGCATTAAACTCAATGAAAAATATATTTTAGACATTTTATGTATCTGTATTGAGTTTAATGAATAAAATATTCTTCTTCCTACTTAATGAAAATAGGTGAATGGTTTAAATTGAAAATAAATAAAAAAAATTAAATTTAAATTGACAAAAATTGAAAACTCAGAGTTTATTTTGTTATAAGGTTAAAACCTTGAGAACTTTTTTTATAATTATCCCAAAATTATTTATGTGTATATTTATATAGAAGTAATGTATTTTTGATGTATGCGATGATCTAGAATAATCTTAATTCTATTTTGTTATAAAATTATAACTTAAATAAATATATTTGATTATTTTAAATTGAATTGTTTATGTGTACCGCCTATATGTACATTGACATAAAAATAATGATAACAAGGAATCCGGACATAGCGTCATTACCCGAGGTAAAATAAAACCACATGATAGTCTCAGGTCGAAATAGAGACTCGAACCTATAACCTGTTAGTGGCATATATATTTAGGAGTGCATGCGGTTCGACTTAGGACGATTTCATTTCTGATTTAGATCCGGCTGTATATGTGCGGTTTGAGAAAAATTGAACTCATAATTGTCTGCAGTGTGAGTTGTGATTTATACAAATAGGATTTGCGGATGTACGAATGGTTTGCGGGTTGAACTTTTTTATTTAAAAATTTATTTTTGAGCCTTTTTTTTTTTCCGTTTTGTAAATATTTGTTTTGGGCTATTTTCTAAATGCTCAATATTAATAATTAATGAATTAAAACTTATAAAATTAAAAACGCAGCAAAATCAATTCCGAATACAAGCAAATCATTCAAAATCCTAAACTAAATTATCAAAATCATTCACTGCCCAATAACACAATTAAAATAAAATCATTCAAAATCTTAAACTTACCTAAAAGTAATTCTTCATTAACTTTTACATTTATTCAAAATGCAATAATAAAATAACAATAAATTGTTGTCAAACTTCATCCAATTCAAACCCATTGAATAAAACAAAAATATTTGCAAACTCGCAAACTCGATCATAAAAAATAAATAAAATAAAGTCTAAGTGCAGGTGGATTCTTGTGGGTGTGGGTAAAACCCACAACCCGCAATAATCCCATATTCCAAACTGCATCTGCCTGCTTTGTGTCTACGAAACTGCCTATTTGTATGCGGATCGATTCGAGTTATGCGATTCGGATAACTCTATACACAACCCTATATATACCTATGGAATTACTATTTGAGTTAGCCATCACGAGTATTTTAAAAATATTTAATTGTTGCATTGTAGGTAATCAAAAAATAATAATTTTTACCCTATCACATTATAAAAATGTAACTTAAATAAATATATTTGATAATTTTATGGGGATTTTTTTTAGGATCCATGATATTAAGAGTTTATAGCATAAATGACATTTTATATTTTCATAATGTCTAAGGTCCCTCAAATCGATCCAGAGAAAATTCAATCCAAAGAATTTCTCTGATCCAAACCAGAGAAATTCTCTCTTATTTACTTATAATTTTCTCTGATTTGTTTACCACTTTCTCTGCATTCAACAACAACAACCATCTAGCTTTAAGTAAATCCAAGTCCAATCTACCGCTATACTCTACATATATGGATGACAAGAAACAAAATAGAAACAATAAGTTCCTCAGGAATCCATAATCAATTCTTATATTATCTTATTCTCAAATCCAAATCCCCCAAAAATTGTGGATATATATATATATATATATATATATACATACATACAAACACACATGGAAGGTGAATGGAAGTCACAATGATTCCCTAAGAAATCCAGACGAGGTGTTTCCACTGGAGACTAGACAACATTTGATCCAAGTTTCCAAACTTATATTTTCCACGCGGCAATTCTGCTCGTCCTTCATTACTGTTGCGGTGGATGCTTTATCCTAACACTGAAATCTATCGTTTGTGGTTTGGGCCGCAGCACATTCAATGGAGGGAAGCTAGTTGTGAAGATGATGAAAGCACTAGGAAGGAGTTATATGAAGATTCCTAGAGAGAGAGAGAGAGATATGAGGTTTGATTTGAGAGAGTCAAATTTCTCTATGATATATGAGTGTGGGATTGAGGATCTTTAGACATTATAAAATAATATTGTGTATCTCTTTCATTACTAAAAATGGGAGAGAGACCTTAGACTAATTTTTCTTAGAATTTACCTAATGGAAATTATCATGTGATAATTACATGAGACATCTTTAAGAAAAACATATAATATTTTCCCTTTTTTTTTGTCCTCTATTTCTTCATTCTATTGTCTGTTTCTACTATAGTTCTAAATCAATCATCAATGACCAACTCCTTTTGCACCATTCCTTGTCCCTTCTCTACCACTCCTTTCTACCACTCAACCCAAAATACTTTAGTCCCTTCTCCATCACCATTATAGAAGGACACACAAGTGAACACAATGTTCACAAATATTTTCACATTTATAGTTGCGAATATTTTGTCTCACATTTGTACATTCTGTGTCAAGTACTTTATGTGCACATAGACTTTTTTTCGAACTTTAATGGCACTTCGGATGAGGTCCCCTTCTTCCCTTGCATGCGATCGCAAATTTCACACACAATCTATGGTAATCACACAGTGGTTTACAGGAAACTAAACTATTTTTACATACATTCATATTGTTACAAATGTTGCCACAGTAAATGCAGATAGACATATATATGTGAAGAATTGGGGGTAGGAGTGAAGAACAGAAAGGAGAACAGTGGAAATAAGTAATGTTGAAATTCTTAAAAAATATTTGCTGATTGATGTACTGGAAGTCTGTAGCTATCCAAGATTGGTGCCTGCAAAACCAGATGTATTCTCTAAGACAAAGTTCCGCAAAAGTAATTGAAGAAAATAGATGTGCATGAGCTAAATTTCTAAAAACAAGGATTACAATACTATTTCCTATTAGAAGAATCATCATTTTTTTTTTCTTTTTCCTTTTTCATTTTGGCTAGAATTTTGATTGGATGAGAAAATACATAACACAGGACAAGAATTTTTTCATAAAGTTAGCTATGAGGGGTTTATAAATTCCTATTTAGTTCAATAGACAAAATAGTGAAATATCAGTGATGCCTCACCCGTAAACAATGGAGATGAAAAAAAAAAAGTCGGATCTTTTTTATGTTTGAATCATGGATTTGAATAGTGATTTGAAAAGAGAAAGAGAAAAGGTGAGGCAAATGTGAATGAAATATAAGTTCATTTCGTCCCCAGTCGCCAACCCTACACAGTTTACAGATTGAACACACACTAAGCTACACAGTTGGGAAAATAATAACTTAATCCCTAATTTGCCTCGGTGTGTTCTACATCTATATCCTCATTAAGATGCCTTAAACTAGGCCTAATAATGCCTAGGATGGGATGAGGATGCAAAGATGCACTTTAAAAACATTTTCAGAATTTTCAGAAAACAGGGGTCACGCTCGAGCGTAGGTTACTCCGCTCGAGCGGACATGTAGACAAAGGTTTCTGCTCGAGCGTAGACTTACCCACTCGAGCGTTCTGCAAAACAGTCAAAAGTGCTGGATAGGTGAAAATCACGCTCGATTGGGCGCTTGACACCCGCTCGAGCATGTGGCACAATGTCCCGCTCGAGCGTCAATTATTCCGCTCGAGCGGACTTCAAAACAGAACAAAAATGTTGGGAGCACGATTTCCACACTCGAGCGCCAGTCACCCCGCTCGAGCGTGAGTCCAAATTCTGGAAATTTCAGATTTGAACCTCAAGCTCAAAACCAAGTTTTAAAACATAAATTTCGATCCTCTTAGGCCAATTTTCCAGAAAACACATCAAAACTCATACTTTAACATGATTCAAAGCTCAATTTGTAAAATCAAGGCCCAACGGTGTTTCAAACAACTCAATTTGAAACCAAATTTTCATGAATATGAAGAACATGCAAACATGCATGAATTTCAACCATTTCAAAGCTTCAATTTCATGCTCTAATGAGCCAATTCCTTCCAAGGACAAGATGAAAACATAGACTTAACATAACTATGAGCATGCATGTGACAATTCTCCATGGAATCAACTCAAAATTCAACAATATAGGCATGCATGCATGGAATGAGCTCTTAATTCAACAACTTGAGCTAGTTCTAGGCTTAGGTCACTAAGAACACAAGAACCATGGATGAACATTCATAAACACAACAATAAAAGGTTGAATTTCCTTACCTAAGTCTTAAATTAGAGGTATGGAGGCTCAATGTTGCAAGAACTCCTTTAATCTTCCTAATTTCCAAGCAATTCTCTCAAGAACAAATCAATTCTCTCCCTCTCTCTCTCTTGGTCGGTTGAGACAAGGAAAGGCTGATGAAAATGTTTTGTATAGAGTGTAATAAGGCTCAACAATAGTCCAAGTAGTGGGCCACTAGGTGGCACTAATGTAAATAAGGCCAACTATGCAATTTATCAATATTTAATCTAATTTAATCATACCAAATCAATTTTCAGATAAATATGCCATAAATTCACATTAATTCTAATGATCATAGATCATTAATCAATTTCAGATTCGGCCGCCGATAAGGCCTTCAATTCGCAATTTAAACACAAAGGCATAAACAGATAATCAAACAGTCAACAGATAGACATACAATTGAACAGATATACTTAATCAATTCAGTTGCAGATTTTAGTCAGTCAATTCAGTACTTCAATCAATTCAGTTACCAATCATAATCGGTCTCAGTTTAGCAGTAATCAGTGGTTAATCGGTAAACAGTGACGAGGGTTGTTACAGAACTAAGAAAGCTGCCCCTTGAGGCTCAACCGGGCTACCAAATGCCTTGCTGAAACCGAGCTAACAGACCCCTTGCTGAAACCGAGCTAACACCCGTAGTTCACATAACTGAGATAGGACTTCATTTATTTTACCTTGATTTCTTTTTAGCACGGTCCGTCGATTTGTGCATAACCCCTTTCTTTTTTCACTTTGCAGACTTAGGTTGCCAGGCACTCATTCGTACGCTCAACCGAGCTACTCAGCGTCATTTTTTAACCGAGCTATCACAGTAAAATTATACATAACTTAAGAGTAAATGGGTAAATATAGGTTTTTAGTAGAAACACCTAGTGGCCTGGTCAAATTCCGAAGGGAATATAACATTCCTGACGACGTCCACCTCACTTTAGCCGAACAAGACACCATACCTTGGGAAAACCCTGGTTTTGTTCCCTTCACCCTCCTTTCCATTGTAGAAACCGGCCTAAGATTCCCTGTACATCCCTTACTTTGTGAATTCCTTAGGCAAACTAGGATATGCCCAATTCAGCTTTCCACAAACTCATACCGCATAATAAATGGTATAGCCGAGCTAAACCGCTGAGCTGGCATTAACCTCGGCTTAGCCGAATTCGTTCATCAATATTCAATAGGATCAAAAGAAGATGGCTGGGTCTATTATCTAAGGATACGCCGTCGTCGATAGAAAATAATAACGGACACACCGGATAAAGACTTGAACGACGATGATTTCTTCTGGGTTTCTGGGAACTTCGAAGACCAAGAAGCCCAGATTCCTGGTGATCGAGTAAACTGGAATAAAGGGACCACCGGTATAATTACCTCGGCTCTATTGCATGTCTCTTTTTATTTCGGTTTCCTGTTCCTGAACCGAACTGATAGTTGTCTTCTTTATGCAGACTCAGCCCATCTCAAGTCACTGTACAGTTATCCTAACCTAAACACACTTCGCACCGCACTACGGTATCCTGAAAGAAGTTGGGCCAAGCTGTTCAATTTTGAACCGGCATACAGATACAACAGTCGACGAAAAGCTAGAGTGACAGACTTTTTGTTTGAGGCATCGCCTGAACCGGATCCAACCTTGCCACAAATTAACCTGGTCTGTACTACTGCTGAACAAGAGATAGCGAAGAGGAACAGAGTGAGAGCCCTCCTAACTGAAACACACCCAGCCGAAGTACCACCAACCACCCAGACTCAAGAGACTGTGGTGGCTCTTCCATCTCAACAACCCTCCTCATCGCGCCCCTGCAAGTGTGCCCGGACTACCCAAACTGAGCAACACCTTGTTGACGAAGATGAAACCCTTCTTCCACCAAGCCCTCTACCGAGCCCGTAACCGGAACATTCCGACAGGGCTGGCTCCTCCAAGTGGGTGCCCAAAATCACTTTTCAAACTGAGCTATCCAGGACACTGACTCGGTGGTCGCTGAAAAGGATCACATGATGGCATTCAACCTTGCTAGGAGTGTTTGCCTCCCAGCAGACATGGAGCACCACAAAAATCTAACCGAACTAAAAGCCATTCATTCGGCCACGAAATCCATGGTGCTTGTAAGTAGTTTTTTCTGTTGATCTTTCTAATTTGCACAACTTTCATCTCGGTTTGATAACAAGTCTTTTATTCTTTTGCAGGCCATGTAGAAGAGCCACATTGCCCATAAGCGTGTGCTGAAGCTTCGTAAAACAGCAAGGCAAGCCATGGTCGAAGTTGAAGCAAAAACCACCGAGCTAAAAGAATCCAAACAGAAGACAGCCGAGCTAGAGGCCGAGGTAGCTTGTCTGATCGGACTAGTTACCTCGGCTAATGCTGACAAACAGAAGGCACTGATCGTGATGAAGGATAAGTACCTTCGCGAGCTAGTCAAGCTCGAAGGAAAGAAAAATGCAGAGATTGTCGAACTAAAAAAGAAGGCGGATGATGCGAATGCTGCAAGTTTCAAGGAGGGGGAGGTCCTCTACATGCGACAATGTGAGGCCGCTAAAGATCTTTTCTTTAAATGCGGTTGGAGGGCAGCCGTGGTGCAGCTCGGTTGTGAACCTGAGATCGAGGTCTACAATCCTCCTCAGTATTTCATACCGAGCTCACTGGTGGAGTACACTGCATCCGTTCAACAACAGTTTCTATAAGGTTCAGATGATGATGAAGACACCGAGACCAATAATACCCCGGTCGTCAATGATCAAGCCAACGATCAATCAGCTCGGTTGGAGCCAACGGTTGAAGACCTAACGACTGAAACCGTGCTTCCAATAGACACCGAGCTCCCAACTGAGACCGATCTACCGTTTGAAACCGGTCTTCGTGTTGACATTGATGCTGATCTTGATGATCTGTTCAACTGATTCTGTACTTTCTTTTCTTGTTGCTTGTTTTTAGTATTTTCTTCTTCCCTTTTTGTCTTGTAACCGGGCTGAGGCCCCTCCTTTGTATTTGCTTTGAATTTGATCAATGAAAATCATCTTTTATATTCAACACTTATTCCGGTTTGATCTGTATGCTTGCACTTGTAATGAGTTTTTCAATGAATTCTTTTGCTCCAACTGTTATCTCGGTTTACTTTCCTGTTTGTGCTTGCTTTCGAACTGCAACTTGAACGAAACACAATATTTTTCGCCCGAGATACTTTATTCCGGTCTTAGCTGGGCAATCTGATTGAGCTTACTAGCCAACCACTCTTTAGCCGACATACTTACTTCGGCTGAAGAGTACCAAGAGTTGGTTTAATTCAGCCAACCTCGAAGTTGGTTTTTTCTAGCCAACCACTCTTTAGCCGATGTCCTTACTTCGGCTAAAGAGTACTAAGAGTTGGTTTAGTCCAGCCAACCACTCTTTAGCCGATGTCCTTTACTTCGGCTAAAGAGTACAAAAGTTGGTTCAATCCAGCCAACCACTCTTTAGCCGATATCCTTTCTTTGGCTAAAGAGTACCAAGAGTTGGTTTAATCCAGCCAACCTCTAAATTGGTTATTCTTGTCAATTTAGAATAAAATGTTTGGTTATTTCGACCAAACGTCCTGCAGCCTGGATCTTTATCCTGGGCTGAAGAGGGGTGTTGGTTTTTCCAGCCAACCTCTAGATTAGTTTTTCCAGCCAACCTAGAGTAAAATGTTTGGTTGTTCCGACCAAACGTCATGCAGCCTAGATCCTTATCCTGGGCTTAGGAGGGGTGTTGATTTTTCCAGCCAACCTCTAGATTGGTTTTTCCAGCCAACCTAGAGTAAAGTGTTTGGTTGTTCCGACCAAACGTCCTGCAGCCTGGATCTTTATCCTGGGCTTAGGAGGGGTGTTGGTTTTTCCAGCTAACCTCTAGATTGGTTTTTCTAGCCAACCTAGAGTAAAGTGTTTGGTTGTTCCGACCAAACGTCCTATAGCCTGGATCCTTATCCTAGGCTTAGGAGGGGTGTTGGTTTTTCCAGCCAACCTAGAGTAAAGTGTTTGGTTGTT